GTTCTAGCAAATGAGAAGCACTGTGTGAACAGGAAATGAGTAAATTTGTTTTCATTTATGCATAATTCAGTGGCTGTTATAGAGTATGTCTTCCTATCACCAAAAAACAAAAAAAATACACTGCCTTGCAAATGTATTTACCCTTCCATTGATGCAATTTTGTTGTATTACAAATTATGCATGCACTCTTTTAAAGTAAAAAGATTTGAATTGGAGCTTGACCACTCACACTGAACACTTCTATGGGTACAAAATGTCAATAGCAAACATTTGAGCATTTAAGAGCTAAAACAGATTTTAAATTATATTCTAAATAGCATAGCATAATAACCTGTGATTAAGAACTCAGATGGAGCAAAAAAACAACAAACACAGTGGTCATCTTGGACCACTGTAAGGAGTTACTACTGCATGTCTTGTTTATCTTATTTTTTATACAAAATGCATATTCTGCTGATTGAAAAAAAGAGCTTGTATTTCACAAAGGAAATTTTGGTGAAGGTATTCAAAAGGGATCTTAAAATGTGTTAATAAAAGTGTATTATTTGCTTTGGAATTAAAAGTATGCAGAACCCTCTTACATTTCAAAACCTTATTTTGTATGTTAAACTATAGTGTCTGTAGTTCATTTTCTACTTTAAAAAAATCTAAATGAAAAACCTTATGCCTAGCTGATAATGTTATATGAACTCAATTTCAAATGTTTTTTTTTAACCCAAATACATCTTATACACAGTTTGAAATTCTTTATGGTGTCTTTGATAGGTCACAAGCTTTTTTGCCTGGAAATGGTGGACGTCAAGGGGCTGCAAAAGTGATGGTGGTTGTGACAGATGGAGAATCCCATGACAAGTTTTATCGAGATGAATACATTGGGAAATGTGAGAGAGACAAAATCACCCGGTTTGGAATTGCTGTAAGGAGACATTTTTCTGAACATTTGCTTTTGTTTTAATGGTACTTTGTGTGACAGAATCAGAGGATGGGCTGTACCAAGAAAACAAAAATAACTTGGTTTAGTGATTAATTGAGATAGGATCAATCTATGATTGTTTTTGAATCAGTGGTGTGGTACATTGTACCACAAAAAACTGAAGTAAGATTAGTAAATCTTAGATTAAGCAGATAATTTGAAAACAACTCAGGGAGAGAGGTATGGAACTCATTCTATTCAATCATCAAGAAATGAAAGGTGCAAGGTATCACCGAATGACTGCCTAACTGAGCAGCCAAGCAAGGAGGAGGCCGATAAGGGATGCCACTGTGACCCCAACGACAACTTTGAAAGAGGTAAAAAGATCAGTGGCTGAGATGGGGAAAAAGGTGCATATCAAAAATTTCCTGGTTACTTCAAAACGCTGGCCTGTCAAGCAGAGTGGGAAACCCATCTCATTTTTAACATGGTGTTTGTATCTAGCAGAGCAAATTTCACACTTTGCATTTACAGTGGTGTGAAAAAGTGTTTGCCCCCTTCCTGATTTCTTATTTTTTTGCATGTTTGTCACACTGAAATGTTTCAGATCATCAAACAAATTGAAATATTAGACAAAGATAACACAAGTAAACACAAAATGCAGTTTTTAAATGAAGGTTTTTATTATTAAAGGG